ATTTTGGAGAGCTTGACTATGATATGTCTTGGTGATTTTCTTTTGGGTTCTGTCCTTCCTGGAGTTCGTTGAGCTTCTTGAATGTTTATCTTTTCACTTTTCAGGATGTTAGAGAAATTTTCTTCCAGCAGTTCTTGAACTATTTCCTCTGTGGACGTGTGTGATTCTTCTTGTTTTAAAATGCCGGTAATTCTTAAGTTATTCCTCTTCATGTTGTCCAACATGAATTTTACACCTTCTTCAGATATTTTTTTATCCTTTTTTTGTGTTTGTTCTTCTATCTTAGTGGTATTGAGAGATTTGTCTTCCAGCTCACTGGTTCTGCCTTCCATCTCGTCTATTCTACTCCTCTGCCCTTTCAGAGTATTGTCTATTTCTGATATTCTGTTATTGATCATTTGGACCTCTTTCTGTAGGTTTTGAATTGTTTCCAATGCTGTATCTATCTTATTTGATTGTTCCTGTAGCACTTTTCCTCTGTTTGGTCCATTTGGTCTTGCCCAAGATGTCAGCTCTGGGCCGCCAAGCCCAGCCCGGCAGATTCAAAAGTACGTATTTTTTTTTACTTCAGCTTCAAGTTCCACAGTCTATAAGCCTTCAAACCTTCAAAATATTCCTATCTCTGTGGTTCCAAGTTTTGGAGCTCTGCCCTGGATCTGCTTTGCCTGGTATTTGATGGTATTACTGACGGCGAACTTCACTGCACCTCCACCCTAGCCACCATCAAACATAGTCTAAGGTAAACTATTTTACAGCTCAAAGAACTTATAAAAACGGCTTTTGTTATAAAGCATAAAATTTAAAGGCGATTTCAAGGTAATAGTTTTGGGGTTCATACAATCTCAATGGCCCCAGGTAGTCTGGCTTCCATTGGGAATTTGAAATTCTGACCCACATTCTCCCATTTGATCCAGAGTCTTCCATAGATCAGTAGTGGCAACCATGCACCATCCAGTGCTTCTGGTCTCTTGGCAGAAGTGGCAGTTGTTTATGGAGGTGATCAGATACACAATCCATATCTGTCTCTGGACTCTCAGAAGGTTGTTAATACAATGGTCATGCTGATGCTAAGGAAAATACAGTGTTCTGCTTGTTGTGAGTCAATTAAGTGATTACCTCTAGAGTAGATGCTGTAAATGTCAGGTGGGATGGGGTTGAAGTGTCCCTCAATGATCTTGTTGGAGAGCATTTTGTGTGTACCAGCCAGACTCCACAGTGGGAAAGGGATGGTTCAGTGCAAGATGGTAGCTCACCAATTAGCATTCTTTTAAGGCTGCCCTAACCTTTCCTCCCTCACATGCCTGTGTACGTGGATATCCAATGTCTACTCAATAGCTCCCTGGGAACACAGACTCAACTTGGCCAAAGCAAAATGCTTTGTCCCCCTAGATATTTCTCTCCCATTTCAGTGAATGTCAGTATCACCCACCCACATGCTCATGCCCCAAACCAAGAATATGTCCTTGATTCTTAGTTATTTTTAACACACTCTGTCTAACCCATTAACAAGACCCATTGATTTGACCTCCAACATCTCTCTAAACTTCATCCACTTTGCTCAGTCACTATTCCTATTCACTTTTCCATCTGAGTGGCAGTGTCCTCACTGGCTCCATGCTGACATGTTTGTCCCTTGCACACATCCAGTTACATCACCCCCCAGCTTAGAAAACCTCAATGGTTTCTTAGTGCAATGAGGCTTCAGCCAAGCTACATTCCATGGTGTACAAAGACCTAGTAGATCTGGCTCCTGTCCACCTGCCCATCCTCTTATTCCCCCATTCACTATATCCCAGCTACACTGAGCTCCTTCTAGGTCCTGGATTCACTCAGCTCATTGATGCCTCAGGTCTTTTGCCCCTCCATTTCCTCTGTCCTGAACACTCTAGTGTAAGGCTGACTTATTTCCATTCAGATCTTCATTCAAAGGTGCCTTTTAAGAACATTTGATATCAACCCAACCCCAGTCCACATTCTTCCCACACCCCACTCTCTAACCTGCTGTCCTATTTTATTTTACTCATGGAAGTTATCACCATCTGGAATGTATCTTACTCATTTATTGGCTTGTTTGTTCATTGCCTTCCTGCCTCCTCCCACCCAGGAGCAGCTACAAAGCAAGCACAAATAGTAAACCTGTGAACTTGTCCCCATACCCACCCATCACAACAGTAACGAGAGCTCCTTGAGGTCAGAATCCTGACCTAGCTGTTCACCACTCTATCCCTGCTGCCTCTCCTAACTGGGGTCCAGTGCTCTTTAGGTGTTCAACAAAGAGTTGCTCCGTGTAAGGAGGTCATCACTTTGCACATATTATATAATCTCAAGGCAACCTTAGCTGGTCCATGTTTCCATTCCTGTCTTCCTAGTGAACTCTTTGTAGGCAGGATTAGTATTTTGCCCTGCTCCTCTGATATCCTGGAGTTAGTATCTGTTGTCAGATAACATATATTCAGTGACTCACAGACTGCAGCATCTCCCTTTCTTGGGAAAGTCTAGACTCAGACTTAAAACGTGAGATTAAGGAGCCAATATTGTTTGGCACCATGGAGACTCCCAGGTCACGTCACCTTGTTGGGCAAGGCTCTGTCTATTTCCTCTTGAAGCTTCGCTTGCACCTCAGGGTGAATGGCCAGGTTGTAAGCTATGAAGCTGAGGGTTAAGCTTGTGGTCTCATATCCAGCAAAAACAAAGGTGGTGGCTTGAGCGCAAATCTCTTCGTCTGTCAAAGCTTTGAGGAAGAAAACAAAATGGCACCATGAACAGATGTAGATATCATGGTCAGTGTACCTAGAGAGACATTTCCTTATGAATGCTCCCGACTATTTGGCCCCAGGAATATTACTGTCCCTCTTTTGTTCTTGTGAAATGTCAATGAAAGAAAGAAGAAAGGAGGTGGGAAACAGCAGCTCATATGAGCAGATGTCCAACTCTGAGCAACCACACTACAAATTTCAGCTGGAAGACGAAGATCTAGTGAAAGTTCCTACCAGAAAAGGGTAGTAGAAAGAGATCAAAGGCTAATGGGACCTTGAGAGTTGGGGACTGGAGCTAATAAAAGCCAACCTTCTCATTTTACAAACGGGAACGATGACACCAGAGCCAAGAGGTGAATTTGTCAAGCTCGCAGTGAAGCAGACACAGAGCCGCATCCTTTAGTATGAGGCACGTTTGTAACAGGTTTTGTGGGTGGTGCAAACCATGAAGTGCTTGGCTACCAGGTGAAAGTGGCTATTGGAACCCACCCAGAGACATCACCTCAGAAGACAGGCCTGGTGCTCTGCTTCTGAAAGGTCACTGCCTTGAAAACCCTATGGAGCAATTCTGCTCTGCCACATGGGGAATTGGCTCGACAGCAACTGACAGCAACAAAAACAGGATTTTAAGAGAAGAACTTTCTGTCTGGAGACGATCATGCTCAAGTTCTTGGAAATTCCTTGAGGATGGTCTCAGATCACCAAAGGCAGGTCCCTGAGTACCCCAGTGTCTTACCTCTTGGGGACTGGTTTGCCTTGCTGGACTTGTGACTGACTGTGTTCTGGAAATTGATCATCAGCTGTAGCAAATCCACATGGTCCTGGATCAGAGTCCAAGAAGGGAGAAAGTGAGACTGACAGAGCCCAACAGTGACTGGGATTCTACCTGGATCATTCATATTTCGGTTCAGTTCTAGACCTCAGATGGTTCTAAGTGAGGCTAAGAACTCAAGGTGAAAGCACAGACTTCAGCTGAACAGGGATGCAAGAGCCACCCAGGCAGACATGCCTCTGGTGACCTCAGGTTGGTGCTTGGATGATTCTGGTCATACTGGTAGGTAAGGAGTTCTGGGCTTACCCTGCGTCCACTTGCTCTTCGCTGCTCCTTAAGATGTCGGATTATAGTCACAAAGAAGTCCATTGCCTCCTGGGGAAGTAGAGTCATATTCATCTTTTCCAACAGTGGCAAAAGGAATGGAAACATCACTGGTTGAGGAAGAGAAAAGAAACTACTAGGAGACGCACTGAAGCAAAATCAAACTCCACATGAGATCCATGGGATCTTGGTTGGAGAGGCAATGAGGAATGTGAAAATCCAGAGACCACCCTCACCCCAAAACATAACAGAGTAGAAAGGACAAGTAAGACTAACTGCCATTCATGATGTGTTTGGTGCCTGCTCCATGCCATTGCCTCATTCAGTCCTCCCACAGCTCAAAGGACATTTCTATGATGGTACCCATTTTACAGATGAAGAAACTGGGGTGAAAACTTGCCCAAAGTCACACAATGATCAAGCGTCCACCCTCAGAGTAGGATGCCTCTCAAAACTGCTCCCTCAGATGGTGTTTGAAGCACCTCCATGACTGATCAGAATGAGGAGCTTTGTGGGCTAAAATTGGGTGTGGGCACAGCCAGGATGTGAGCCAAGAAGAAATAAGTGTCTCCTGGTGAACATGCTATTGATGAATGCTTTTCTCCCATGCTAAAAAACTCCTCCATCATCACAGAATAATATGTCTTACAAACAGACTGGTTTCGCTCTTCTGTACTTGTGGGATACATAACAAGCCTGAACACAGCAGAAAAGCCACCTCCAGATCTCTCTCCATCACTTTTATTTCATCCTCTAAAAATAGCTATGAGGGGGTATGTTTTATTATGTGCATAATGGATTGGCATGGTCACACATACACATGCTTCATCAATCAGTAGATATAAATACATACATTGTGAGACATGCTCAAAATGTTGTTGATGATACAGCTATGCAATCCAAAGAGCTTGGTGACCCTGAGACACACTGGGCTTGTCTATTAAGGATTTGCTCTATATTAATAATATTTTAAACTTCTCTTCCAAAACTATGAGGGGGGCCGCAAAAAGTATGTAGAAAAAATAGAATTATAAAATGATGGCATTTCCCCTAGAACTTTTTGAAGCCCTGTGTACTGTAGTAATGGAAAACCAGTTTGCTCTGTCAACTTTTAGGCAAGTCAGAATCAAAAGTTAAAAACAATTGCAACTACAAAAAAACACACACCACCAAAAACCAAAAACACAACTATACTGTAATAAGTGTAGACATTTTTCTAGTGATTTGGACATTCTGTGCTGTTTATTCATCCCCTTTCACATATCTTAGCTGATTTGACCCTCTCAGCAATCCTGTAGGTGGGGCCTTGGAGGTCAAGGTGCTGGGAAACGTGGCATGTTTGCAGATGGCCAAGGGCCAAAGCTGAGTGTGCTGATGTTGCATTTTAATGGGGGAAAGGTTTTTGTACCTGTGAGGATTATCAGAGGACTCACAAAGCTGAAGGAGATCAACTTCTTTGTATAGCGGAGAAAAACATCATCAGGATTGCTGATAGAATCAGTGTCCACACCAAAGGACATGCTGGTGACAATATCCAGACTGTAGGCTCCAAAAATCCTGGGTTGGAAAAGATGAGTCAAATACATAAGAAAACCCAACAGAGCTAGCAAAGTGTTCAAGTTCCTGAGTCTTAAGCTCAACACTGTGTCGTACTCACTGGGCAAACAAGAATAAACCAAGCCTTCCTCCCATCACATCTGAAATGGGAAGGTTATGGGTGTGGAAGGGATATGGAGAGAAGAACTGTAAAATGAGCATCCCAGAATCAGTTAGAGAACAGTTAAAGTTCTCATCTGCGTGTGCAAGCTGTCTGCTTTCACAACAGATGGTCCAAGGAGTGCTGATTCAAGAGATGAGTCATTAGAAAGAGGTTCTTGAAAGAGGGAAAATAGGACTCGGACCTTGAAAATGGAAGAGAATTTAGATGAATGGATACAACAAGACAGAATGCTGAACATCATTGTTGTTGTTAGGTGCAGACGAGTCTATTCTGACTCATAGTGATCTTATTCACAACAGAACAAAACACTGCCTGGGCCTGCACCAGGTTGCTATGTTTGAGCCCATTACTGGTGCCACTGTGTCAGTCCATCTCATTGGCTGTCTTCTTCCTTTTTGCTGACCCTCCACTTTCCCAAACATGATGTCCTTCTCCAGGGACTGCTCCTTCCTGATAAAGTGTCCAAAGTATGAGAGACCAAGTCTTGCCTTTCTGACTTCCAAGGAGCATTCTGGCTATGCTTCGTCCAACACCAATTTGTTTGTTATTGTAGTTCATGGCACTTTCAACATTCTTCTCCAACACCATAACACAAATGCATCAAATCCTTATTCACTGTCCAACTTTCACATGCATATGTGGCAGTTGAAATACCATGGCTTGAGTTAGGTGCACCTTAGTCCTCACACTGATATATTTGCTCTTGAACACTTTAAAGAGGTCTTGTGCCTAATGCAATACATTGTTTGATTTCTTGACTGCTGCTTCCATGAGTGTTGATGGTGGATCCAAGAAAAATGAACATCATAAGGAAACCCAAGTTAAAACTATAGAGCAGTAATCTCTCCACACACCCACCAGAATGACTACACTGAAATGCTGATAATGCCAAGTGTTGATAGGATGAGGAGCAACTGGAATGCTCATGTATTGCTGGTGGGAATGTAATATGGTATTGTGGCTTTGGGAAGCAGTTATAAGCCACCTCGTTTTATCAAATTGCACTTTATAGTGCTTCACAGACACTGGTTTTGTTGTTGTTGTTGTTAACACATTGAAAGCAGGGACTACCCTGCCATATTGCAATCCCACCAGCAATATGTGAGAATCTCAGTTGCTCCTCACTGCCAGCAGGGCTTTTATGAATATATTCTTGTTTTGTTGTTTGGTGCTGTTGAGTCAGTTTTGACTCATAACGGTCCTGTATAGGATTTCTGAGGAGCAGCTGGTGCATTTGAACTTCCGTCCTTGTAGTTCAAAGCAACCCTGTGGCCCAGTGCTTATCCTACGTCTACCAAAAGATATTGACAAGAAAATGCACAGTAGCTTTACTACCTCTCCCAAACTGGAAACTCTCAAGCAAACATTCCTCACAGTGAAATGGATAAACAAATCCAGGTATCTGAATGGAAGGGAGTAATAACAACAATGAGAAAAGATGAACTACAATTACACCCAACATGGATGACTCTCACAGACATCATGTTTAGTTAGAAAAGAGGGCCAGAACCCAAACAGACACCATTACATTATTGTTGATGGGGTCAGGTACCGTCAAGACCATTCTGACCCATAGTGACCCCTAGCACAACAGAACGAAACACTGCCCAGTCCTGGGTCATCCTCACCATTGTTGCTTTATGGGAGCCCATTGTTGTAGCCACAAATATTTGTCAGGTGAATTGCTGGGACACAGATCCTTCATGTGTGACTACATGGTCACATTTGTATAATGTTTAAAAAGAGGCAAAACTTAATTCAGAATGTAAGCAATGTAGGAAGGGATGACCTTGAAAGAGGTCAGGGTTGGAGAGAAAGTGGGAAGACACATGAAAGAAACTCATGGAAGGCTGGACAAGTCTATATCTTATTTGGCATTTATACAAATGAGTTCAACCAGCTATGATTGACTATGTTTTACTTTACTCTACTTTGCAGATATTGCACTTTTATAAATAGAAGGTCTGTGGCTACTTTGAGTTGAGCAAGTCTGTGGGTGCCATTTTTTCACAAGCAAGTGTCCCTTCCTGCCTCTGTGACCCATGCTGATCATTCTCACAATATTTTCAATGGTTTCACAATGCTGTTGGATACTTCATTGTTGTTGTTAAGTGCTAGCAAATCAGTTCCGACTCATAAACACCCTGTGCAGGGTTTCCAAGGAACAGCTGGTGGATTTGAACAGCTGAATTTGTGGTCCAGTTCTTATCCTATAGCGCCACACCTGACTCTGCCCACTTCATAGTGTCAACATAATGTTTATCTGCACTGGGAAACTACAACATTCATGTGGTTGACTTGATTGCGACCTTGGCTTTATCGTGGTAGTCTGGGACTGAACCTAACGTATCTCTGAGATGTGTCTGTACCATGTAAAAACTCAGTGAACTGTACATTTAGGATATGTTCTTGTTGCTAAAGTGCTGTCTAGTTGATTCTGACACATAGTGACTGTCTAGAGTTTCTGAGGAGCGGCTGGTGAGTCTGAACCACCACCCTTGTGGTTCAAATCACCTTGTGGTCCAGTGCATTATACTGCAGCACCACACCAGGACTTCAGACTTGTCTTAGGTGCCCTTGAATAGCTTCCGACTTACCATGATCCCTTGTGAAAGAGTAGAACTGCCCCATAGGGTTTTCTTTATGAGAGCAAATCACTAGGTCTTTCTCCTACAAAGACCCCGGGAGGGTTTGCACCCACAACTTTTAGTTAACAGCTGGGTGATTTAACCACTGCACCACCAGTGCCCCTTTGCAGGTGGGACATATATAGAAATTCACCAAACTGTGCATTTCAGTTCTGTGTAGCTTCTCATTCTATGCCAGCTTCCAGAGTAGAAATACAATCATATATCTTTATAGAAACCTTTGTCCAAGTCCTTGTCCTCACTTCCTTCCCCAGCACATCACTAGAGAACAATGCTTGGAAATGCATCAGTATTTGAAAGGAAAATGGTGCTTCCCTCGAAGCTTCACTGAACAAGATGTGTTTTGGAGGCTTAAAGCATGGCAATTAATTTTGTTTCTGAAAACACCACAGTTACTCAGAAGCTGCTGAGCCAGATGGCCAAGGCCAACATGGGAAATTGCTTCCACACTCAGAGACGATGGGCAGCAGCCACTGTGACTCAGCACGTATCTGCAGGGTCAGCAGGCAAAGAGAGGGATCCACAGGCCCCAGCCAGAGGGCAGGAAGTGACACCAGGCGGGAGACTCTCCTGCTGCTCCTTGTTCACAGAGGAGAGGAAAGAGACTGAGGAGGGCACCAGGTCTGAGAGGCAGGAGCCCCTCAGAAATACTCAGACGTTGAATGAATGAAGGGAGATGACAAAAATGGTGTCCAGAAGTTCCCTGGAGTCCATGCCGGCTAGACAGTCCATGTGGCAGGGCTTGTCACTCATTGACCTTCAGCTTCTGGTTGTCAGCCTTCACCACCTAATGTCTACCTCCAGACACAGCCCACCCCTTTCTCTTACCCCCACTCAATGATGCCTCTAAGAGACACGCTTCCATTCCTTCTTACTGAAACACTGAGCCTGCCTGGGCCGAAGGGATGAAGAGATGACGCGCAGGGAGAGAACAGGCTGTACAGTGACAGGATTCTGACCTTGGCTCCGTCATTTGAGGGATGGAAGGCTCACCAGTCCAAGAATGCCCACCGTCTGAGCAGCCACACAGGATGCGGCTGGTACAGCCAGACCAGCCTCCATGCTCCATGGCCTGGCCTTCAGGTGCCGGAGTTAGCCCACCACTGAGGTGCTCATTCCAGCTCTAGAACAATCCTCCCGTGCTTTCATATACCTGCTCCCAGTTCATTTAGACCCAGGGCCTTTTAGCCCGTGCTGATAGCGGAGCTTGTCTTGCTTCATACTGTTGTTCTTGTTGGTGTTGGTGCCGCCATCGAGTTTATTTTGACTGCTGGTGACCCCATGTGTTAGAGTAGAACTGCCCCATAAGATTTTCTTGGCTGTCATCTTTATGGAAACAGATGGCCAGGGCTGTCTCCCATGGAGCCACTGGGTGGGTTTAAACTACCAACCTCCCAGTTAGCAGATGAGCGCTTAACCATTGCACCACTAGGGTTCCTTTGAGAAGGACAGCATGCTTGGTAAAGTGGAGGGTCAGAGAAAAAGAGGAAGACCCTCAACGAGATGGATTGACACAGTGGCAGCAACATTGGGCTCCAACATATCAATTGTGAGGATGGAGCGGGACCGGGCAGTGTTTCCTTCTGTTGGGCATGGGGTTGCTATGAGTCTGAGGGCACCTAACAACAACAACCAATCTTCTATAAACAGAGGAGGGAAGAAAGAACAACCTGAATGTTCTTCCTTTGCTCCTGGATTGAAGCCCCTTTCATTCACCTTGCTCTGACCCCCAGATACCATGAAGACACCAGAGGGTCTCCACTCCTCCCAGGGCCACACTCACTCCTTCATGTCTATCACCTCATCCAGAGCCACTGTCTTCTCAATGTTTTGCACCAGAATGTTTCCATGACGTTTCATGAGGGAGAACATCTGGAAAACGAAGAACTCAGTCATTGGTATATCCATAGGGACCAAAACCCGAAACCAAATGTGTTGCTGTCAGGTCAATCCCAACTCATCATTGACATCATGTGTTAAAGAGTAGAACTCCACTCCACTGCATGTGGTCTTCATGTGGTGCAGCAGGTTAAGCACTGGCTGCTAACTGCAAGGTTGATGACTGAAACACAGCAGCCACTTTGCATGAGAAAGATGAGGCTGTCTGCTCCCATAAAGATTTGCAGCCTCAGAAACGCTTTGAAGCAATTCTGCTCTATCCTAGAGGGTCAACTAGAGTTGGAATTGACTCAGTGTCAGTGGGTAAATCTTTACAGAAGCAGATCTTCATGGAGACACTGAGTGGATTTGAACTACCAACCTTTCACGTAGTAGTTGAGCAAAATTGTTTTACGACCCTACCCAGGGACCTATCTGTAAGTAGCCCCAAAATAAATACTTGGGTGTATCTTCTATCAGACTTCCATTGATCAGAATTGTTAAAACAATGGAGAGTTCCACTCGATTTAAAGAGGAAGAAGGTATTATGATTACTGAGGTAGAACCAGAAAGGATGTTTGTTTCATTCTGGTTCTTCAAATGTTCCTGAAAATTGACTTAACATTCTTGCTTTTGTACAAGTCTGGTCTGGGATGATCAGTTTTTCTTGGCTGTAGGACTTTAGAACTCTCTTTGTTTTAGTGTTCACTATGAGTTCTAGATACAAGGATAGTTTTGGTATGTTGGTAAATGTTTTATGACTGGTTCCCCACTGGTAAGAACCCTGATTTTCATGGGGGTTGCCATTTTGTCTGGTGTAAATTCTCCCACCATAGTTAATTTCAAGGTAATGTTCCAGCATGGAGATTGAAAGAGATACGTACAGTCAACTTTCACAAGTTATAGGGGCCACTTCACCACTGGGTCTATTTCTCCTGGAAGAGTTTTGTTACCATATTTAAAAAAAAATTTTTTAATCTCATCTTTGAATTTATTCTGCTGTCATCTCGTGGTTTTTGCCAAGAATCCAAGTAAAGAATGAGAAAATCCAGCCACCTGGAGAGTTTCAGTTTATTTCTTGTAAAAATTTACAACAGTCCAAAATCTGTCCTTTCCTTCAAAACTGGAGGCTTTACAAGCACCATCCAACAAGGATGTCTGTGGAGCTGGTTTTAAATTTTTATTAAAAATATGTATGAACTGAACACTGTGGCTTATACTCATCCTCCCATTTCTTGTTTCCCTTAAAAAAGTATCCTTTTCCTCACCCAGGGTTATGGGACTTCTCTTCCCTGTATCTCCACACATAAAATTCCTTTCTCAAGAGAGGAATGGTCTGAAAGCACTTTCTAGAAGGTTCCATGAGCCCAGTGTAGATAAGGCCCCAAGACCATCCTCTCTCCCTGGCTTTAGGATGTAGGAGAGCAGCTCCGTGTCCCTGAGATCTGATCCCACAATTCCAGGGGAGTTATGGGTAGACAAAACACTCAAAGGAGAGAATGTCCTCACTGTACTTGTGTTTGGACACTGAGGTCCTGTGATTTATTTTCCCTTTCATGGATTTTGAAAACACTGATTCATGTTTGTCTAAATCATGAAGTGTTTAACTTGCTCGGCTGATAACTCAAAGGTTAGAGATTCAAGTCTACCCAGAGGAGCCTCAGGAAGGCCATCTACTAATGACAAATGGTCCTAGAAAACCCTCTGGAGCACAGTTCAACTCGGTCACCATGAGTCCATGGAAACTTGATGGTAACTGGCTAAAAGCAATGTTGTTCCATGTACGATTGACACAATGGTGCTGTTCAAGTTCACCTATAATCTAAAAATCCAAGAGAATGTGAAGTCAGAGATTTAACTTTCCCAGAAAGAATGGAGGCTTTCTAACTTAAGCACACACATGGACCTGGGTTCCTATCTTTCTGCGCCATTTTTTTGACATTGAATGATTCATTGGTTAACGTCTGTATCTGCCACCAGCAAGTAGGTCAGCATGTTTATAACTTGTTGTTGTTAAATGCCTTCGAGTTGGTTCTGACCCATAGCGACCCTAGATAGGGTTTCTGAGGAGTGGCTGGTGAGCTTGAACCACCAACCTTGCAGTTCAAATGGCTTTGCAGTCTGGCACATTAACCCATAGCACCACACAAGGACTCCTTATGTTTATGACAAGCACATAGTAAATCTGGACTGAAGAAAGAAAAATAAGAAGGAAGGAGAAGGGTGGAAAGTGAGAACATAGAAGAAACAGAAGAGGAGATAATGGAAGGGAAGAAAGATGAGAAGGAGGAGCAGAAGGAAACGGTGGAAGGAACCCAATGGTGGGAAAAGGAAAGAGTTTCAAGACCCAAGATTCTGGACCCCTCCCCAGCTGACTCCCTCCCTTGGTCTTCTTGACTCTGAGCTCCCTGGGGTCAGCCTCCTTCCTGCCCATTCTTTGGTACCAACTTGCCCACACTGACCGCCTTGAGCTTCCTGCTGGAGAAGGTTGGAGAGACAACAGCTCGGATCCATTTCCACTTCTCATCCTCTAGGACAGTGAGACTCGATTCCAAGCTTCCATTTAAGCCAAAGTTCTAGAGGATTAAGTGAACAGAAACAGGCTCAGCTTGTGTTAGAGAATATAGTTTGGGGGTTGTACCAAAAGAGAATTGGATGCATTACAGAAAATGTTTGAGAAACGATTGCATCAGATAACGTGTGGCGTTGTCCCAGTCTAGAGGATTTGGAATGCAGAGCACACAGGGTGGCTGTTGGGGAAGGGGACAAGTATCGGTAGATTTTGGTGGCATGCTGAGATCTAACGCTGAGAGCTTCACCCATGAGAAGCAGAGAGTCCCTGTCACTAGGGTTGGAGTTTATTTCTTCATTTCTTTGCCAGAGTCAAGCTGAGAAAAATGACTAGGCATGCTTGTTTCCAAACAATTATTTACTTTTCTTTTTTAGTCTAATACAATACATGGAGTCGTAGTGTGGCACTGTAGGATACACACTGGACTGCTAACCACACAGTCAGTGGTTCAAACCAACTAGTTCCTTGGAAGCTCTATACAACATTGTTATGGGTTGGAACTAACTTGACTGCACGTAACAACACTGGAGAGAAGATTAATGAAATCTTGTTTGAAGAATGACTAACACCCCCTCCCTACTACCACCCTCTCAGAAAAGGGAAGAAATTCAGTTACCTAAAGGGGTTTCATTTTGCTCTGGTCACATGGCTGATTTGAGCCAAAAATGGGACTAGAAATCAGATTTGGGCTAAGCTAATACATTGAAAAGTCTAGAGTGGAATGTTCCAGAAAGTTGGTGTCCAGCATGGTAAAGCTGGTAGTATTGTGCTGCAGGTGAAGGGCAGGATGATTATGGCATTGATTAAAACACGATCTTGGCCCTAAAGATCCCAAAGATTTCATCTTCAGTGATGGAGCTGTCATTATCTTTGCTGGTGAGAGTGGGAGAGATTTGGAGAGGAGCCCACCTGGGATCTCTCAAATCCCCCTTGCATAAGAGGCGGCCAATTGGCAACAGTCCCTAATTCATAATGCCTCAGATCTTAGCCACCATAACATATGGCTACTTCAACTGCAGCAAGGGGATAAAAACATCACTTTGGATGCCACCACTGAATAGCACCATTTCCATGTGAACCTCCCTTTATTTTCCCAAAACCACTGCTGATTCTCAGACCAATGCCCAGTGAAGTAGCTGGCATCATTTTAGAGAGCTGTGCATATGTTTGAAAGTCAACAGAACATGAAATGGAAATATTAATATGAAGAAGAGTTTCAAGAATATTGACTGAAGATCGGGCAGAAAGCCCACATTGAACCTGCTCCCACTCAAGACCACGCATATGAGAAGTAAGCTAGCGTTGGAACCTACCCGTCGGTTGGTGAACAGGGTGTAGAACTCCTTGACCAGAATCGTCTTAATGATGGCAGGGTCCATGATGGCCAGAATGGGCTGTCTGCCTTCGTAGAAGCTGTCACAGATACCAACATCCCAAACAAAATTTAGTGAGATCAGTGACCTCCATCATGGTGTGTAATCACCACCAGTAACCAGTGCCAAGTTCCCATCACCACAGATAGAAACCCACTGCTTTCTAAACAACCAACTCCCCTCCCTCCAGCCTTTGGCTCTTCTTGTTCTTCTTCTCGTGTTCCCTGGAGTTCATTCTGATTCCTGGCGACTCAGTGTCATATTCCAGAGTCTTTCCCCCTCATTTGGAAATTCCTCTACAAGGTTCTGTTGGTTGTAATCTTTACAGAAGCCAACCACCAGACTTTTTCTTCCACTCATGGCTGGGCAGGTTCAAACTGTCAACTTTCCTGTGAACAGCTGAGTACAAACTATACCAGCCAGGGTAACCATGCAAACATTTTGTTTCTATACATTTGTCTCTTCTAGATATTTTATGTGAGATCATTCAATATTTGTCCTTCTGCAACTGACTTATTTAAGAAATGTTTCTCAACCTACAATTTCCTTGTCAGTAAGTTCAACATTTTGGATATTTTCTCTCTAACAAATTTATTATTTAGCAACTTCCTTTTATTTTGTCCCCCACATGGCATAAGTAAAAAGGATATTATTGTTAAGTTGTTAAGGACCATTGAGTTGGTTCCAACTCATAACAGCTCTGTGTAAGGTTTCTGAGGAGCAGCTGGTGAATTTGAACTGCCTATCTTGTGGTTCAAACTGACCTTGCAGTCCAGTGCTTACCCTACCAGTGCCATCCCAGGACTCCATAAAAAGAATATAGCCCAGTAGTATTTTTTTTTCTCTTCACTGTCTCATGCTTACCTATCACCTAGCTGTTTTATCAGGCTTCCTATCTTTCAGCTGTGTGAAACTCTTCAGTCCTCATCGTACACAGACTATCCCAGAGTCTTTCCCCCTCATTTGACTTTGGGACATGCACTTTTGTGATCACCACCACCCAGAATAAGATACAGCCCACCGTCTCACCCATCCCCCACTTGAAGACTGTATTGTGTGATTCCTTCACATGTAGCCTCCTTTGCCCAAAATAATGCTGTATAATTCATGCACGTGGTGTGAGTATCAGAATTAGTATCCATGGTACCCGTATGCTACCGTTCATTTAACATTTTCTGCTGATGAGCATCAGGATTATACATAAAGATGCTATTATGGATTAAACTGCGTTCCTCAAAAACATACATGGGAGTCTTAAACCTGTTCATCTTTGATGCTCTTAGTTCAGCTAAGTCAGACCAGAGTAGGGACGGTCCCTTCTGAATGGTGTCTTATAAAAGGGGAGAAGAGCAGACAGAGGCACACAGGAGAGATGCATCTACAGGCACCAGAGGGATGACAAGGATCGCCACTAGCTCAGGATGAATCATGGCATGGTTCCTCTCTTGGGACCCTCAGGAGGGCTCAATATGGCCAACAGCTTGATCTGGACTTTTGGATCCCAGAAAACAAAATCCCCATTTTTTTTAAAGTCATCCATGTTTTGGTATTTGTTGATGGCAGCCCTGCGAAACCAATTGCTGGCATGGACATTCTAGTACAAGTCTTTTTATGAGCATATGTTCCTATTTCTCTTGGATAAATACCTAGAGTGAAATTGCTGGACCACAGAGTAAGTGTGGCATCCTGGGATGGCTCTGTAAGATACACACTGGACTACTAACCATAGGACGTTAATTCAAACCCACCAGCCACTCCTCAGAAACACTATATAGAGTCTCTGTGATTCGGAACCAACTCTACAGCATTTATTTAATAACAACAACAACAGGGTAATTGTATGCTTAGCCATAAAAACACTGTGAAAGTATTCTTTAAAGTGGTTGTGCCATTTGACACCCTCACCAGCAATGTGCGAGAGTTCCAGTTGCTCCACAGCCTCACCAACACATTGGTCTAGACCCTGCTCTGATCTTAACTCCTCCAAAAAGAGTCAGGACCAGTCCTAGTCTGGTGCCTGATTCAGGACCCAGAAAGCATAGTTGCAGCCCAAATACAGGTGGTTTATTCATTCTTCAAGTTGGCTAGGATGTGGACATGCCTCCCAATGCACTATGGGAGTGGCCAGACTTGAAGGTCAGCAGTGTTAGGACCCAAAGTGACTGGGCATCCTGGCCTTGCTGCCTGATTTTCAGGCTGGTTGATGGCCTGGACTTTATGCAGCATGGCTTTGCTCCAAAGGGATGATTCCTCTTCCTGTGGGGGCAGGAGAGGGCTAACTGTGAGATCCTTACCCCCATAATTTGCCATATTTCTTAGAACACTCCAGGTCAAATTCTAAAAGTCCCTGTAAAAGAAGAACATCTGTCAGACAGGTTGGACATAAAATGCTGTGTTGTGATTGCTAGAGACTTAAAGGATCCTTCTCCATCACCCAGCCCGTTGTTTCTCAAAGTGATACGCAGGATGATCCTGTTGGTGGTTGGTGTTCTTAGGTGCAGTGGAGTCAGTTCCCACTCACAGTGACCCAGGAACAACAGAAGGAAGCAGTGCCCCACTCTGCACCATCCACACAATCGTGTTATGATCGAGCCCATTGTTGTAGCTGCTATCAATCCATCTCGTGGAAGGTCTTCCTCGTTGGATTTTGATTATACATGCAGATATCTGTTATGTTACATGGAACTTTGGATTCAAGAATCTTGATTATATTATTAGGATAAGTAACTGCCAGCTCACATTGTTTTGTATTCCTAGGCTAATATTCATAATGACTTGATTGTGTTTTCTAGCTGCTTCTTCTCTTGTAAACATTGATGCTTCCCCCTCAGGAATCTGGGGACTGTTCACCAAGCATGGCTACCTTTTTTAATACGAGTTCAAAACTGGACACAATGCCACAGAGGCCGAAAACATCCATTTGGCATTCAGTAAGGGTGCTGCTGACCAGTAAAGGAGGCAGCGGTGGTTTCAGAAATATTGCTCTGCACACAAGAGCCCTCACAATGAGGATCAAGGAAAACCAAAATCAGTAACAAACAAAGACCATCAGGAAGAGCTGGTGGAAAGCAATCATGGAACAACAGTTCCAACTCTTGAGAGTCTTCTATGACCGCTTCCCACTAGGTGAGGACTATCAGAACATGGAAAATTGGACAAATGGGTTTCACATGCGTTGATGGAAAATCAGAACTCCAGATGTCTAGAGATGTGTCTGTGCTGCTAGCCAGCAACCAAAAAGTGCATTTTGATGCATCGTTTTGTTACTCATGATGGGAGAAGGATACCGATCAAAAATAATGAACAGTCGTGGCAATGATTAGATCATTGCACTTCAGTCTCCAGGGTGTGACCCCAAACAACCACTGCACCCAAAGTAGTTCCTGGGACCATGTGTTAGTTTGGAAAAGGCACAATCCAGATTCTCGTTGAGACAAGGGTATAGATCAAGGCAGTCTTGGAGGGACTGTCAAGAAGTCAATCCTGAATTGCCCATGTGTTAGGTCACAGAGTAAGCCTCCATAAATTTACAAACATCAAAATACTACAAAGCATCTTTTCAGACCACACGGCTATAAAACTAGAAATCAACAATAAGAAGACCAAGGAAATAAAGTAGAATACATGGAAACTGGATAACACCCTGCTGAAAAGGTCTGGGTAAAAGAAGACATTAAATGTGAAGTCACAAAGTTCCTAGAAACAAACAAGAATAAAAACACAACATACCAAAACCTTTGGGA